TAAAAGACACTGGATATTAGGAGAAGGGATCACTAAACCTACTTGTCAAAAGCAAACACCTCATATACCTTGCAACTTCTGACGATTATTATAATACCAACCAGATGATCATTATGCCATGATATCTTTTTTGAAAATCATAATCTCAACATCTACTAGATTAGTGTATGAAATGGCTTCTTATAAAAAACAATGCTTTTATAGGTTATGATGCCAAATACCATATTAATTCTATTTAATTGCCCTCATATGGAGTTGAACTGGTATCTTGTGATTTGACTTGTGAAGTATTAACCACTATACTATAGATCCACAGGTCACAAAATATATTAAATAATAATAAGAAATAGATATTATATATATTATTATATTTTAAGTTAATAATATTGACAATTTTTAAATAAAATTTAATTTTTTGAATTAAAAAATAAAATAAAAAGGAAGTTTAAAAAAATTTTATAAAGAAACAATTATTATAGGTCTTTTTTTATGCAATAAAAAAAAAACAAAATTTTCAAATTTGCTTTTTCTTAATTGGAGATCCTATTCTAATATATTAGTATACAAGAAAAAGTTTATTTTAAAAATTTTTTAAAATCTTTTTTATAATTTAAATAAATCAAATAAAATTAATAATAAAGATTTTATTAATATTTTAATAATTTTTAATAATTATTTCATATTTAATTTAAATTCTAAATATTAAATATTACATTATTTGTATATTATATAATATAAAATATTATAAAAATATATATTATATTCTTGAATATATTCATTTTTAAAAGTTTTAAAAAGAAAATATTTAAAATATTGTATTTTTTTATTAAGTTTCTTAATATAAAACTTATTATTATTATTTTATTGTTTATTTGTATCATTAATTTATATATAATTATCTATTTTTTTAATTAATATAATTTTGTTTATATTGTTATAAAAATAAAAAAATAATTATTAAATATTAATTAAAAATAATAATCAAAAGATTAATAAAAAATTTGATTTTAAAATAAAATATATAAAACCCTTAAATTTTAATATTTATAACTTTTTATATATAATTTTTTAAAAAATGTAAAAAAAAATATAAAAAATATTTTTTATTTTATTTTACTTTTGTTTAATAAATTTAATAAAATAGTTAAAAAAATTTTCTTAAGTAACTTAATTTCTTATATTTTCAAATATATAAATACGGATATATTTTTATTTAATTTAAATAATTGGTTATAAAATTATAGCCAATCTAATTTTTTTTTGTTACATACCATGTATGATTGATACTATAACTAGTAGCCAATTGTTGTTTTTTTAAACAAGAGTTTTAAAGTTTTTTATATGTTAACTTAAATTTAATAGACTAGTGTTAAATAATGATGCTTAATATAAATTAGATATTTTATTATTTTATATATCAATAAAGAGTAGCATTTAATGCCCGTTGGCGTGATAATAATAATAATACAAAGTAAAAATAACGCTACAACAGAGTATTTTTTTCTCCAATTAAATCTCAAAAAAGACCTGCAACGAGCAGAGGTAGAAGTTACAACTAATAATAACCAAAATATGGTTATAAAAAGTTGTAATGTCTATCTCTACTCATTGTGGATCTTTTTGAGGATTAAATGTCGAAAGAATACATTGTTGTTTAAATCCCTCGATTTCTTGCAAACCATTCATTTGGTTTGTATATAAATAATGATTTTGTGCACAAGTTTGGTCAAAAGAAATAACCGATTGTTGCTGATGATAGTCGTTGGACGAGAATACCTCTGGTGATAAATATGGTGTACAAATTGTTACCGATTGCTGCTGATTATATTCGTCGACCACGGATACCTCTGAAAGTAAATAATATTGCGGTATACAAATTATCACTGGCTGTTGCTGATTATAGTCGTTGGCCTCTGGGGGTAAATAATCTTGTGGTGTACAAGATTGTTGATTATAATCGTTGGCGGAGGATACCGTTTGTTGCATAGAGTCCATTGCTTCTGAAATGAACGAACTCGGTAACAAAAATTGATCATTTTGGCTTGAAAAACACGGAACCTGAGTAGTGTTTTCTGCTTGATAATCATTGGTGGCTTCCACTTGAGTATCCATTTCGAGGGAGGAAAAATCAGAAAGTGAATTCTTCCTTTGTTGAGTCGATGTTAGCAAATTATCCATTTCAGGACTAGGGTGTGACTTTCCTTTGTTTTTTCTTCCAGGTTGGTATTTGTAATCCGGGTGCAAAAATTTGTGATGCATAGTCGCAAGGTCAAATATAGCATTAAAAAGTGCAGGGACAGATGTACCTTCTCCCCATTCTTCCCATTTTTTTGAGGCATAACGAGACAATTTCATCTTATTATTTTTTTCCTGCTTGAAAACTCTTCTAATAAATTTTCTAAAAATAATAAAAGAATTATTTGGTCTGGAGAGTTGTCCTCTTTTCCAGGAAGGCTCTATTAATTTATCAACGTCCTTTTTGGTAATATCAAATGGATATTCATAATCTTCTATCAAGTCGTCAACAAACTTTCGTTGTACCGAACATTCTTCTTCATTAGGTATAGGAAGACTTTGAAAAGACTTTTGTGTCATATTTATATAACTGTTTATCTTTGGCATGGTAGTCAGCATGGAATGCTAACAGTGGAAAATGACGTTCATTAAATAGTCGTCGGTTATTTTTCCGGTGAAACACAACAGTCCGTTTTCTGCTACGTGTAAAAAAATTGGGCATTCTCTTGTATTGCATACATATTTGGAAGCACTTTGTATTGCACACATATTTGGAAGCACTTTGTATTGCACACATATTTAGAAGTTACCCACACAACAGTGTTCGGAAATCTGAAAATTTCCACCATATTTATGTCACGTGATAAACGATAGATACATAACGTACTTTAATATTCAGTAAAATTATTTACTGTACCAAACAAGTGTATATTATTATTAAATATTTACAAAAAACAAATGATATAGAATACATCATAATAGATAAACTATATTACTTTATTAGTGAAATATTTAATAAAATATAAAAAAAAATATCTCTTATATTAGATGAGTTTAAATGCTAGTCTATGTTTTTTTTAACTATAAAAAAAAAATTATAATTTATAATTAATAAATTTTCAAAAAAAAATTTTTTTTTTTTGCAAATGGATATTAAATGTAAGACTTTATTAAATAAATAGTTTGTTTGAACCATTATATAAGAATCTTTCTACCAACTGTATAGATTAATCCTAGCCTATTGCAATAGTTAAGGTGATATATACAAACTTTAAAAATCCTTATAGGGAAAGAAAAAAAAATAAATAAAAGCTAGCTACTAGTTATTTTACAACCGGTATATGTGTTTGTTATATAATTGATTGTGAATATAAAGTAGTATAATTAGAAGAGTTGGTTTTTATAATTGCTAAACCTGGAAACTAGCTTGTTATTGTGATATAATCTGATAAATTTTTTATATAAATTAGACTATTTTTTTTATATTTTTTTAATTAATTAAAATCATTAGATATAAGGTTTTATTAATAATAAATTAGACTATTCTTCTAATTCTTATAATCAATATTTTTTAAAATAAAATTTTATTTAATAATAAAAAAATTTTTTTAATTTATTTTTAAATACAATTTTTTTTTTTATAAACTTTAAATAAAAATTTTAAAATAAACTTAATAATTAATTAAGAATTTTTTTTTATATTAGATATTTTATTTTATTTATTATTATTATTTTTTTTTTTGTAGGTAAATATCATTTCTTTATTTAATTTATATAGTGATAAATATATATTGTAAAAGAAACAACATCTCTCATATGTAATAGTACAACAAATTAAATGCTAGTTTGCTTACAGTAACTATTAGACTAATATTAAAAAGAAATTTTAAAACAATATATCTTGTTGAGAAGCTCTGAGCAGCTATGATTACCTACTCGGTATTGGATAGAAGAAAATTAAGATAATCTGAGATTAATTTGAAAATGCACTTAGTAAAATTAAATCCACTTTGGATATAAGAATTAGCAACTAATGTAGGTAAATCTATAGTAATTAATGTTAAAGTGAAGGAGTTGTTGAGAGATTTGGATTTAGCTAAGTTTTTGGTCACTTGTTTTGATATGTTGCTATGAAAGTTATTGTTTCATTTGATACCAATAAGGATAGAAGTGTTTGCTGTGGCACAGCAAGATATCCAGATTGATTTATATAGATAAGTTAAGGTCTTAGTTAAGGCTTTGACCTAGTTGAAATATTAGATATTTTATTTTATTGATAATAAAGTTAATATTATATTGTTTAATTATTTTTTTTTAATATATTGTTATAAGAAAAAATAATAGATAGATAATAAAAAATTATAAGGGTAAGTATATCAGGTATAAATAATATATCAAATATAAATAATATATCAGATATAAATAAAATATCAAACTCTCTCCTGATTACGTCCGTTTTTTTAAAAATTTTCCTTTTATGGTAATTTTAAGCAAGAAAAAATGTTTTATACTCTTTATCGCAAGTGAGCCCCAGCTC